GGTACCAGCGAATCCACCGTCATCCGCGTAAAATATGCAATTTCTTCGTCTGAGGGGTTTGGATTACAAAAAGTTCATTTGAAGTTACAGATGCAGATCGGCCATTTGACACACTGATTTTCTCATTTTCTAGCTTTATGAAATCAATTTAATAAAAATTAACATAAACTTTGAATTATTATTACATTTCATTCATGTGTAAAAAAAAATTGATATAATGCCTCCGATTGATTTATAGCATTTACTCCCTCAGTACGTGGAGGGGGAGGAGGAAAATCCATTGCACTACGATCCTGAGCATAAAAAAGTCAGAATAAATGATTACAATATAGTAAAAAAAAGATCAATCAGATTACATACTTCTCTTTAATTATATTTTGATCATATTTTAATTATATATTATATAAATTTATGATTTAAATTTATGATTTAAATTTATTATTTAAATTTATTATTTAAATTTATTATTTAAATTTATTATTTAAATTTATGATTTAAATTTATTATTTAAATTTATGATTTAAATTTATTATTTAAATTTATGATTTAAATTTATGATTTAAATTTATGATTTAAATTTATTATTTAAATTTATGATTTAAATTTATTATTTAAATTTATTATTTAAATTTATTATTTAAATTTATTATTTAAATTTATTGCTTAAATTTATTATTTAAATTTATTTATGTGGATTAACAGCATGTGAAAGCTAATCCAGATACACTTCTGTCTCGCTTTTATGGCCTTCACCGAGTAAAATTACCACGTGGTCCAAAAATTCATTTCGTGGTGATGAACAATATTTTCCCACCACACCGAGATATACATGAAATTTATGACTTAAAGGTCGGTTTTTATCAAATTATGTTAAAAGGGTAATGATATTTCTTTTCTTAATATCTCGCAATCAATAGGGATCAACTGTTGGACGTGAAACTAAAGTTACAAACAATCACAATCCACGCACGGTACTTAAAGACCTTAATTGGATAAATAGTGAACAACATTTGGAATTAGGTCCTGCGAAACGAACGTTTTTTGTTG